TAATATATGTACACCCCTTAGGATAGTATTTGACAGATAGCATGTAATCTGTCATTGACATTTTTCTCTTTTATTGGAGGTTTTAAGAGTCTTCATTCCCCCATGACCCACAGTTGTAATGATCAAAATTATTTTTGTCTGTGTGCTAACAGTCTTTACCTTTTAAGAGTTAATAGAAATAACTTCCTTTTCTATTTCAATGGTTAGCAGACTTTTTCTGTAAAGGGCCAGATAGTAAATATTTTAGGTTTTGCAGGCCAGATGGTCTCTGTTGCAACTACTCAGCTCTGCCATTATGCGTTGTGAAAGTGGCCAGAATCTTAGCTAAGTAAATGAGCAGTGTGACTGTTCCAACAATGCGCTACAGAAACTGGCTGGGGCAGCGATGACACTGCTGTAGCAGGTGGAAAGCTTCTTAAGAGCAGGCACTATTTTATTAATCTTGGTGGCCTTTTTCTTGCCTTTTTTTCTTGAAGAATTATTTAATTTTATTTCATATTATTTTAAATCTTGCTATAGTACACATGTGTTCACCAGACAGAAAGAGAGGGAAAGTGAGAAAGCAAGCTGCCAGGTCTGGGACTTGAACCATGTGGGTTGACCATGTGGGATTCTAGCGTCTTAACCGCCACATTATTTGTTGGCCCTCGTAAGCTTTACATGTAGGTCTTAAATTAAAATTTGTTGATCTGAATTTAATTGATTTACTGTAGAGCTGTAGGAGGATTTTGGAGTACCCTTCCTGCCTCCTGTCCTCTCCTTTCTTTTTTCAACAAATATTTACTATAGGAGGGAATCGAAGAAAATTGTAGCTACTTTATTTGTGTTTTTCAGGGCCAAAGGATCCCAGATAACTTTGGAGATTATTTTGTTCAAAAATATGATTTGTCTTAACTGAGGCACATTTCTCTGGCCTGTTCAGAATCAAAGTTAACAGTACTTTTCATGATTGCTAAGTTTTGCATACTAACTAGCATAGTTAGCAGTCAAGAAAAACACTGATTTTTTTTGTTGTTCTTTTAGTAAAGCGTTATTGTTAGAGCTGACTTTCTAAGAGCTTGATTTTCAACTACGGTTCAATGCCAAGAATGAATGAATTTTTTGAATGTTGCCTAGCATACTGATGAAATATAAACATAAATTTTAGTTTTCTAGGATGTGGATTTATGATTGATGAACTGTGCTATGTCCTTATCCCTAAGACAGTAGTTTATGATTTTAAATGACTACCACAGGCACCATGGTTGATATTCCTGTTCATCCTGTTTGATGTAGTATGACTTCATTAGAGGATAAACCATTGGCATTAGTCTTACAATTTCTGATTTATGATAGAGTGCACATATATACATGTATGAGTGAATGACAGATGAGCACCCTCCCCAGGCTCTGGTCACGCTGCAGACCCCCTTCCTCTTGCCTATCCAATCTTGAGCACTCACAGTACCCAGTGTGTTTTCAGGCCCAAAGGCCCAGGGACTCAATTCACTATCACCATGTGGGATCTGGGCTTTCCTGAGCAGTGCATTACTGCTGTACAGCGAAGCCAGATTAGGCTGACATTTACTCTGCTTGACTTTAAATTGTATTAGGCATGTTTATTTACTTACTCATTTTTTTCTCTTTTGCTCATCCTCATCTGATGCCCCCAAGCCAAAGGAAAATTGTGTATTTACTTAATCCCTTTAATAGGTGTTAATTGGCTATTAAGTGTATATTTGGGATGCTGCATTCATTTTTTGTATTCCTAGTGCCCCACCTTACAAAATATAGACTGAGTGTGTGTCACTTAAAATGCTTGGGACCAGAAGTGTTTCAGATTTTTTTCAGATTATGGAATATTTGCATATGTATACTGAGATATCTTGGTGATGGAACCCAAGTCTAAATATGAGTTTCACTTTGGTTTTATATATCCCTTATACACATAGCTTGAATGTAATTTTTATACAATATTTTTGTATTTCAGCATTTGGATCACATGAGATTAGATGTGGAATTTCCTATTTGTGATGCCATTGTTGGTGCTCAGATAGTTATAGAATTCAGAGCATTTCAGATTTTCAGGTTAGGGGATGTTCAATATGTATAAGCACATTAGGCATTTGGACTTTTGAAGATCTGAAGGAACTGAAGTTTTCCTTCCAACAGATTCAATGTGAGAATTAAATGAGACAGTGTAGATGTTTCATACTACCATCCTATTCTAGTATTTTCAATAGCTAACATCCTTGATGTTTATTCTGTGGTAAGTGGTTTATATTTAATCCTCAAAACAACTATGTGAGGTACCCAGTGTTAGCACCAACTCCATTTTACTGAAAATTGTGGCTTAAAAAGATCACGGCCTTCTCCCAGGGTCATATAGCTAGCATGTGATGGAGCCTGAATTTGAAGTCAGAGCTCTTCACTTAACCATTTTCTGTTGTATTCATTCAACAGATATACATTGAGCACTTGTTACGTAGCCAGCACTGTAAAAATTATTTTGTAAAAACTAAAGCTTTTTGAAGAATATAGTTAATTGGCTCCTCACCTCT